TCGTTGAAGATATCGAACTATGTATACTTGCGATAAATGCAACATATTTAGGATACTGTTGGTAATTTCAATAATGTACCTAAGTATCTAAAAAGGTACTAATGTCTAATTTTTAATACGTGACGTCAGTTGAGAAAAACATTTCCGTCTTCAACTCCATGTTACTTCTTTTATTACATTTAATAAATATTTAATTAATATTAATATTTAATAAATAATTAATATTAATATTTATTAAATATTTAATTAATATTTTTCCTGTCCAGATACAAAACAGGGAATTCTCTCTTATAGAAATGAATTTAAAATAGCTATTTATTTAACGTTTACTTGACGTATTTACGCAACGAATTTGAAATATTATGATCGACTAGTTTCCCTGTAATATTGTGTAATATTTCTTTCGCTCCCATTCACTGCTATAATTTTTCGTTCGTCTTAAACAAACATAAAACAACAGGTATTCCAAATATGTTGCATTTCCTCTAGTTTTAATTATTAAATGTGGCTCGCATCGCAACAATGTGATAATAAAATATGAACGATCTTAGCCCTTACTCTGTAAACATTTTCACAGATACCAAAAATTGTAAACGGGGTCTTTCGTGTTCGATATTCTTCACTTAGCTAAAAAAATTTTTGTAAAAAAATCATAAAAATAACTCGTACGATATTTTTCAACCTTCTAAACTCAGATTGAAATAAACAAAAAAAAAAAAAAAACTGCTGAATTTCTAATTTCGCGGTTTCTCCCAATTTTCAACTATTTCGCTGTAAACTGTTTTTTTTTTTTTTTGAAACGAGTAACAACAATTATACAACTTTCTCCGTCTCCTTCGATTAATTTCTTATTTTATTAATCAAATAAACCTTCAATTAGAGAGACGGTTGGGAGGTAGCCAAAATTGGGAGAAAAGTTTACCAAAAATTTAAACAATGATTTGTTTACATACATTATTATCGCCGCTCATCAGCCTGTTTGGGAGAAAGCCGTGTCTCTCAAATTTGCTCGAAAAATGCCGGTCCATCGAATGAGAGTTCGTACAAGATTAATTATTAAAACTCGCTTTAATCAGAGTTCACAGAGCTGTGTGATATAATTTCATTTTCATATGATTTAGCTAATGTAATTTAGATCATCTGTAAATCATTTAAGCGACGAAATTATTATTTAGGCCGACTTTCGTACTTGCAACGTCGCGTGATAAGTAGAAATCTGCGAGAAATACGGAGAAATGTCGGGACTTTGACAAGGATATTATCTAATATTATTCCGTAATTCTCAATCCTGAATATTTTCAGGAACCCGGTATTTTCGAGTTCTCGCACGCCACTCGCATTGCTCATGTCCGCGAACAGAATGAATTGTGAATTTTCTTTCCTGTCGAGGCGTTCAATTATTTTTAACACTTTTATTGTGTTCATATGTATACAGGATGAGCAATTTAGGCATATTTCTGCCATACAGATGGTTCGATTTCAAGCTTCTTCGTTTAATTCGATAAATCGGATAGTAGATATAAAACTATTTGGGTTAAATTGTTCAATTTCAATCGGATCCATTTGTTATTGAATTTTTCTTTAAAATCTTGTGAATAATCTTTACTCCGATGGTGGTTGTTAACTAATTTAAAGTATTTAAATAATTATGATCGACATAGCACGTCTCAAATAGCTGACATTATTAACAAACAAGATTCTCATTAACACTAGAACTACCAATGTGGTCAAAATGACTAATTCATAATTTTTTTTTAGATATACGTACATTACAGATGGAGAATAGTATTTCTAGAGGTTTAAATGATTTTTTTTATAAAATACATGTATTCTACTGTATTTCTATTTTTTTCACAGATGCAGAATAGTGTTTTCTAGAGGTTTAAATGATTTTTTTATAAAATACATGTATTCTACTGTATTTCTATTTTTTTCACATTTTTTATAAAATACATGTATTCTACTGTATTCCTATTTTTTCACATTTTTTATAAAATACATGTATTCTGCTGTATTTCTATTTTTTTCACAGATGCAGAATAGTGTTTTCTAGAGGTTTAAATGATTTTTTTATAAAATACATGTATTTCTATTTTTTCACATTTTTTATAAAATACATGTATTCTACTGTATTTCTATTTTTTTCACAGGTGCAGAATAGTGTTTTCTAGAGGTTTAAATGATTTTTTTATAAAATACACGTATTCCACTGTATTTCTATTTTTTTCACTTCTATGCTTTAGTCTTTGGTAGTTTTAGTATTAAATGACCACTTTAAAAATTAATTTCGAAAGTGTTGTTTGCATTATTGAACATCTTTCAATTAAACTCAACACGTACGACAGCAAGTTTTTTCACCCATCTTGCATACATACATCTCAATCGTATTTTCAAACTCGTCACCCGAAACGAAACGATATTAACGACCCTTCCTCTTTCAACTCGCTATTAATCTGTTCAATTTCATTCGCAAGAAATATACTATATCAATGCCGGTAACAATCAATACTAAAGTAGTTCTTAATAATAATCTTAGGATCGTGCATCGATAAATCGCTATAGATTTCTTCCATAAAACTAGCTAGTATTATATACTTTCACTTTACATTTATATTTTTGGAATTAACGTGGAACCACTGCGATCGAAAGAAACATAGCCTGATAGATGTTTCTATGTAATTTTCGTCAAATGTACATCTTTCGCAGATTTATATCGTTGAATTTCTCACAGTGTGATTGTTTCTTTCTGACGCAATGGTTCCTGAGGATTATGGTACCAACGATTTCTGCGAGGCACACTTCTGTTCCTTACTCAATTTCACGCATCGAAAAACATTTTCATCGAAAAATAGCATCCTTTCGACTGGTCTTGCACCCTCTTCTCGACGTATCTCCATTGAAAAATACTCTGTTCTCTTTGAACGAAACACAGTTGTTAATATTCGAACATTAAATATCGATGCTGTTACAATTTTGTAAAAGAAAGCCGTGCAATAATAAATTTCGGCTCGTTTCGAAGCTTGGAGCTTCTGCTTTTAAAAAAGCATCGTCCATTTTATTCTAAGATATTTTTACACTATGTGTAACAAACGACAAAATGCGAGTTTCCTTCGCGAAAATTCCACAAATTATCGCAGTACGTGAAAATACTGGAAAAATTTTTCCCGCAACTCAATCATCTTAATGTGAATCTACTCAAATTTTTCAGAACTGGCTAATTGGATAAATATTTACATAAAGATATTCACCCTTCGGATCTCGATTTTTTTTTTAATAAACCATCGCCCTGAACGATACACCAATGTTGTTCATTAAAAAGTTGTTAATAAAGAAAGATTTCGATGCTTGAAAATGAAATTCCACGAATTTCTGGCACTAAGGGGTTAATTATCGTAAATATTTCCGGTTAATTTTTTTAATTAATAGAATAAAGACAATTTTTTTAAATAAAATAGAATATGTAAAATAAAGATAGAATTTTTTAAATAAAATAGAACAAATAGAATAAAAGTAAATTTTTTTAATTAATAGAATAAAGATTATAATAACAAAAGATAATGTTTCCAGGATCGTGTTATTTCAAATGATAAAAGACGAGAATTTTTCAATAGAGATCCAACATGTCCACAAGATTTTCCGTTTGAAAAAATAGTCCGATTGGTGATAGCGTTGAGGCACAAATTTCATTATCTAATTTAATTGTTCCAACCGCTCTAACGATCGAGCTGCCCGTGTCGTTTACAAACAGGCGTTCATCGAATAATATAAAAATTCTGATAAAAATTTTGGTACAAATTGTGATTCGTGGAAATCGAGTTTTACAAAACTTTCGTTGAGCGAGATTCGCATATTGAACAGCATATTAATCTTAAAAACAATTATAGCCGCAAATATTGATCAGTTTAAAAAAAGAAAGAGAGACCTGTGTACAGTGACACTAGCATAACTGTCCCAATGACAATGAAAAATCATCGATAATTTAAATTGATCTAACTTCGTAAAGAAAAATTATGCAACGACCCACTTGGTCTCACTTTAAAGCACGAAACCTATATTTTTTCAGTCATAAACTCATTTTTTTTTTTTTTTTTTTTTTTTTTTATGCACAACAAGGTGGAAAGTGACAACAATACTTTTTTCTCGAAAATTGTAAGAATTCAATTGCATATTAAACAATTTTCTTCGTGATAAAAACCACTAGTAGAAATCTTCTCTCGACAACTTAAATTTTCTCTTTACGACGGATCATTAAAACTTGCTACACCACCTTTTCTTACCATTTTATTGAACTTTAAATATTATCTATGAAATCTTGGAAAAAGTTACTCAACCCCTACTAATTCACACGAGTAGGCAATTTTTTCCAGCGTTTCATTAAATTTTGAAAATTGGAAGCAGATGACAAAATGATTTGAACTTTTGTCGTTTAACTCTTATCAAAGATTCAATAAATTATGGTAGAAAAAAATTAAATCTTAAAGGTTGCAAGGAGAAAATTTCAAGAAAATAGTGTATTTAATCATGAAAAGAGTTTTTCCTCGCTTTCTCACGCGATTTAAAATCATTCTTGGAAAAAAACGAAAGTCACGACTGTCAAAGTATAGGCTTCGTGCCTATCATCTTTCAAAGTTTTATCAGTTCAAATTATCGACAATCTTTCACTGTTATTGGAACAATTACTCATCACTATGTTTTATTATGTATTTCTTTGTTGTGATTGTTAAAATGTCAGATCGTCGATAATTTGTGATGAAAATTTCCAAGTCGATCCTCGAAGTTTCAAAACGAAACGTCTGCTAAATGCAAATGCAATTTGTCCCCTCAAAAGAGTTATTTCACAGAAATATTTTCAACATAAATATTCGATATTTCTTCGTTGGAAATCTGCTTAATTGATTGACTCGCGATCTTTACTCTCGTGTGTTCGCTGCGAAATAAATGCATGTTTCATTTAATGTAAATTTATGTTAAAAAGCTGGGGGAAAGGGTTAAGCTTTTCATTTCCCTCGCTGTCAACTAAAAACTATGTTCCTCGTGTTTTAATAATCGTTTGCAGGAGCATCGCAATTAAAAATTGCAGTAGAAAAATATAGGCCTCTTCGTCTTATCTTCGGTAGCTATTCAAAAACTAGCGACTGCTTACCTAATATCTAAGTTTCGCGTTTAACTTTCCTTCGTTCTGTCTCATTTTTTCTAAACGATTTCCCTTACGCGGTACCAGTAGTGTCGTTTGATATAATACGTAGAAGGAACAAGGTCAGTAATTTGATTGCAACATTGCCGCTCAAATTATTCTCGTTAACATATACGCGTCGTCATTGGGATGCAGATTTTATGCATGTTAAAGTTTTCATGAAAATCGCTCGAGAAACAAAACCTAGAAAAAAAATTTATTCTGTCTAACATGTACTACAATGTACTCTATTCTGGATATTTTATACAACATACTTTTCTACGTTATACATGCAGTTAGGTGTATAGTTTTGCAACTGTCGATTTGTCGTAAATGCATGAAATCCGCATTCTAAATTTTTGAAATTTTACAAATTTGGTTTCACAACGACCGCGAGAATAACTCGAACGTAACTCTGCGCGTCCGACGTACATTTGAAATTTCATTAAAACACTTAGAATAATTACCACCAATGGATAAGGAACAAGAAATTGGTTCATTTTGTTGTTGTTTACGGAGGTAACGTTTGACTGAGGAAGCTATTATTCTTGGTGATCAAGCCGGCACTGCTCTCTGACATTGGCATCGCTGTTGATTTCTTCCCCTTTCGTGATTTTGTGTGTGACTTGATGTTTGGCTGCAAACCTTTTGTGATATTCTGAAAATTATTATGTACGTAAATCTCCTTATATCTAATCTAAATACATTTTCGAGTAAAATTTTGTAATTTCTCGATAAAAATTGAGTAAAATTTAGAGTAAAATTAAAAATAATCTGGCGTATAAATATAAATTACAAAATATAAGTTAAAATACGTTAAAATAATTGATAAATGAACGTAACGATGAATAATGATGAATGAATATAAGTTAAAAAACGGTACGTAGGTATAAATTATAAAATATGAACATCAGTATATTAAAGAATATAAATATAAATTATGAAATACGAATATTAATAAAATATTATATAAATTATAATATTTTATTAAAAATTATATAAAATTATATAAAATAATATTACAATAATATAAAAATACAATAAAAATAATATAAAAATGTAATAAAAATAATATAAAATTACAATAATATAAATAATATAAAATTATATAAAATAATATTACATAATATTATATAAAAATAAAATATAAAAATTACAAAATATAAAAATAAAATATAAAAATTACAAAATATAAATGTATAAATGCATAAATATAATTGTAAAAATAAATGTAAGTATATAATAAAATATAAATATAAGTTATAAAATTGTATGTAAATATAAACATAAATTAAATACAAATGTAAACATATTTTTTAAATTTGTAACATAATTACAAATTTGGATTGTGGAAATGAAAATTGATTTCAACGATTAACAACAATTGGAAATGTTAATAAAATATCACAATTCCAAGATTCGTAGTGAATCTAGTAAATGATTTCTGAATTTCAATTGTACCTTCCGCTGATATTTTCTGTCTTTCCGATTGATTTAATTTCATTCAGTTTTAAAAAAGATCCGTTCAAATAAAAGATACTTGCACCAGTCAACAAAGATTGATATTTTTGCTAAGAGTATACATGTAAATGTTTCACCTCTTTAATGGATCCTGGAGTAATGGTGACATAATAGAGAGCATAAGCTGGAATCCAAATCATAGATGAGAAGCTGAGACAAAAACCAACGACTTCCGCCCAAGTTGGATATTCATAGTTGTTTCCGTACTTCAGCGGTTTATATTGCACGCATTGAAACACAAAGATGAACTGCAAAAGAAGCAAAGACATGCATTTAGACGAATTTCTAAGTGTTTATGTTTATTTATATTTATTTTTTATTTATTAATTTTAAAAGGCAAGCTCGCACATGAGGCACATAATTAAGAAACATATGAAATATTCGAGATATTTTCCTTTCTACAATGTTCGCTACGTAAAACAATTTTCTGTCTGAGATTCAATTTCTTCGAAATATTTTTAATATTTTGTTTAAATAAATTTGCATAAAAATCCGCTGCACTCGTTGCAGGACGTCACAGTTTGAATTCTTCAGTTTAAATGTTTATAGTTATAATGTTTTGCTTTTAGTATTAGTACTCTTTAGTATTAGTACTCTTTTATGAAGAATATCGAGCTAATGAATCAAAACATAAGATTATATTATTATATTGTATTTTTAATACATTATAAAACAATTATATTATTATGCTGTATTATATTATATTATTATATTGTATTTATAATACATTATTATAAACATAAGATAAGGAAAATTATTACTGCCATATCGTGATGAACAACTTACGTTAACAAAGATTTTCCATATTTTCAAAAATGATGGAAATATAATAAAAAATATAAAGGAAATATAAAGTGAGTTATACTCTGTATAAAATCCAGTTTTTAATCTTGGCTGTTTGATTAATAATTCTCACACGCGGATCAATCTTCTCGAGCTTCCTTTTATAATTTTATAAGCAAAATCGTTACAATATCGATCGCAGCGTAGAGTATATAAATAAGTAATATAGCACGAGGGCAGAAATAAATGACACTGTCATCCATCTTGAAAAAAAAAAAACGATTTCGTCGAAATTAATCACGTTCCTATTCTTATTTGTCATACTTATTCAATCTTCTTGCTCTGCTTTCAAATAATTCAAATAAAACCCAATTGAAAGAGGACAATTGCCTATCCTCTTAATCTAATAATAAATAAGAAGAATTCTTCTCTGAGCCACTATTAAAATTACATTTTCTTTCGTAACTAATTTCTTCTGTTAAATATTTGATAATGCTAAGCCTATTCTATTCGAACTCTGTTACTAGCTCAAAGTTATTATATTTCAGTCATGATAATGACAAAATTAAAATTATAGCACGGTTCTATTTCTGACAGTTTGTGAAACAAATGTAAGTAGAATTCCATTCCAAGGAAATTAAAAAAATTTTTATCGTTCATTTCGGATTAAGTTACAATGATTCGTCGACCAGTTCCTCAGTTTGAGCTGCTGACTCGTTCCAAGGAATGGCGGGGATTTTTTAAATTCACATTCGCTCTATTTGCTGCCGTACAAATTGGAAATACAAAGTGTCCCATATGAGGTTAACCAAGCAATTTTCTCTTAAACTACTATTCGCTATAGAGAAAAATATTTCAAATAAAACTTATTTGAAATATTGTTTCAAGATATCTTGTGGTGGCCACAGATCTTATTCCAGATGGTCGTGCTTTCAAGGTGACCTTTCTTTTTTTTTAAATAGAACTGTATATTTTTGAATCTTATATAGCTGATGTCAAGACAAATTCAGCGACCGAAATAATGTCATTTAAAGTTATTCGACGCTGCTCAAAGGTTACCTTGAGCATCCAAAGATTGTTCCTTATCTATGATATTCGAAATGGTGACGTTGAGCACCATACACTGATCTTTATTCTATCCCTAAACGACAGTTGCAAAATATTTTTCTTGTCGGGTTTTCCATACTCCTCATTATGTGAAAAATCGTATAAAGGATACTTGCTAGCAAATTACTTCCAAAACATTGGAAAGGGTGCAACTGTTGTTTAAGGACAGAATAAATCAATGTATTGGCGCCCAAGGTCACATCAAGGTAAGCTTCGAGCAACGTTGAATAACCTTGAATGAGCTTGGAATACCAACGTTATCTAGGTCGTTGAATTCGTCTATAAGACTGTGAAATATGTAGTTTTATTCAAAAAAAAGAAAAAAAAAAAACAAAAGTCACCTTAGAAGCATGACCATCTGGACTTGTGGCCACTATCACAAGATCTCCCCTTCGAAACAACGTAAGCTTTATTTGAAACATGTTTATAGCGAATAGTTCAAGAGAATATTACCTGGTTCAAACATCTTCATTTTTCACGAATATATATGCTGTTTATTTACAAATACGAAAATCTAAATTACTATAACTTGGTAATTGAAATGTGAATTTAAATACTCGAAATTAAGAAATAGAACAGAAAAGCTGGAAGATTACGTAAATACTTCGTACATAATACTGTAACATTCTATATGTAAACAAATTATAGATTTCGAGTATACATATATTTAAAAAAAAGAAGAATAATATATAAATATATAATAATAATGATAGAAAAGATAATAGAAAATAATAGAAGAATAATATATAAATGTATAATAATAATAATAGAAAACATAATAGAAAATAATAGAAGAATAATATATAAATATATAATAATAATAATAATAATAATAATAATAATAAAGATAATAGAAAGTATTAGAAAAATAATAGAAGAATAATATATAAGTATATAATAATAATAATAGAAAAGATAATAGAAAATATTAGAAAAATAATAGAAGAATGATATATAAATATATAATAATAATAATAGAAAAGATAATAGAAAATAATAGAAGAATAATACATAAATATATGATAATAAGAAATTCAATAGTTCATTTGGGTGTGGTGTTCAATTTCAAATATCAAAATGCCTATCTGTAAAATGGTAAATTTGCAACACTTTTTTCCTCCATCATCTACTCGTTCCTTATTTTACGGATATTTTTGCAGAATTTGCTAACGACAGATGAAAATCGTTATATTTTTACCAATGACATTTCACCGTAGAACATAGAGATTATATAATGTTATGTCTAATAAAATTGAAAACTCTCTTTGTATCATTTTAGACGTTTCTCTATCAAATTAATTGTGTTTAAAACCATGTCGACACAATCTACAGAAGCCTTTTTGGAGTCATAATCCACTAAACATTCTGATTTTATTTTGTATAATCTTGTAAGATGATTTTGTACGATCCTGTAAGATCCTTTGCTCAGTTTCTATCACTTTAACTTCATGTTTCCATCATCTTAGCCCGATAACATTTTTGTTTATCTTGCCACCTCAATGTCAATAAATTATTTGTTGATCGGTACGCAAATTTTCTTTTCCTTATGCTTCTCTCCGTAAAGAGTATACCGCTTCTGTTTTTCCTGACTGTTTGCAAATAGATTGATTTGATATATGTGTAGTAGGTCATATAAATAAAGACTAGAATATAAACGTCAAAGTGACAACATTTGTCGATTGTCAAGTTGCACACAGTATCTGTATTTTTTACAATGTAGATTATAAAATCCAATATATAATTAATTATAAAATCACCGAGTAATAAATGATTTAATGTCAAATTTGCTTCTTTTGGAAGAAATAAATTGTTTGAAATAATATCGACTTTGCCGATAAAATTGACTTTCGCCAATGCATAAATCTTTGTATGAATGATTGTGAAGAGATTTCGAGGGTATTGATCGTATTTTTATTAATACATTCATTATCTCTTAAATGGTATATTATCAATATTACTCACAATATCATATATCTTTTTTAATATTTGTTTTTAATGATAATATAAATTATTTTACTCTAAGAAATTGTAAATTGACTGCATTAAATATTGCATTAACACAATATTGTGGTAATAAGTTTGGATGATGAAGTTCGTCAATGATGAAATTAATTGATTATTCTTCACAAATGAATTAAGCAACTTTGAAAGTGTTATATCATCTTCTTATCAAAAAATTATATGTATAATATATAATACATGCCGGTGATTATGAAAGTAGATTAAGTCATCATTTCTTTGTTTTGTAGACATACTTAAAGTTTTTCATTTATACGTATAAAACAATATTTTGTTAGTATAATAATAAAATATATGGTCAAATATTTGCTCTCATAATGTAAAATAACTGTGCCTTTTTAAACATCAAATGACTTGGACCTTTTAAGTTCAGATTTAGATCGCTTTCAAAATTAATTAAATAATTAAAAACTGATTTATAACAATAAAAGAATGGACTTTACAAGAAAAAGATAATAATTATGATTTTGATTCAATTCAATTTTTATTTTTTAAAATGGAATTTTTCAATGCTGAGCACTTTCAAATATTCGTGATGAATTATTACTTGATATTAATTCGATATTAATTGTCGCGAAAATATTTTCTAACGCCCCGTTAAGGAAAAAACAAGGATTTATAAATATTTCAATATTCTGAAATTAGATAAAGTTGTAAAACCTGGATTGAAAAAGTACCAAGCAAATGTTTGAAATTCACTTTCATAACTGTTAAGTAAATAATGTAAATTAACTAAAAAAAAAGTGTTGTGTTAATATAGATCTTAATGTAGGAATATAAACTATTCTAGTTTCTATTAGGGAAAAAAAACAGAAAAGAACACAAAAGAAGAAAAAGAAAGATTCTCTTGTTACTCACAGCCATAGTCATCGGTGCAAGCACCACCCAGCATATGTACCAAAATTTGTTCAATTCTATTTCCATCATCTGATGAATACAATCGCAGAACTTTTTCGCTCCAAAAATCCACGATATCGCGATCGTTTGGAAGAAACAAACCCATAGAATGGACATTCCACTCGCTGAATAGAAATCCATTAATTGAAATATATAAATCCCACCCTGAAATACATATTTTTTAAATTTGTATTTTGAAAGAGATGTTTGAGAAAAGAAAGTGAAAAAGTTGGTGCTAACATTGGTCACCATAGTCAGACCCAGGAAGAACATGAGACAGCAGATTGCGATGGTAAACTTGTTTCTATGGGCACGGAGATTGGGCCAATTATCAATAATGCCAGTGATGAAGGATTCCACAATACAGAACTCACTGTCGATTCCTAATATCTGTCAAGGAAAAATGAAATAATGTTGTTTTGGCAATTAATTCATTGGTATTCACAAGATTATTTAATAAGTAATAAACGTCTGATTAATTTATATACTTGGCTGCATTAATTAAACAATATTAATATTTTTAAATGCATGGGATCATATAACTCGCAATATCCTGCAATCTTTAAAAATTAATGATTAAAATAATGATAATTTTATTAGTAAAATGATAAAAAGAATTAAATTAAAGATTAAAAATTACAAAATAAAAAGATGCATAAAGGATATTAATACTCATATAGAAAGTTAGCATGCAAATGAATAGAGTCGTTTCAATTTAATATATAGTATAGAAAAAAAAGAATTCCATCTAAGAGGAAGAAAAGATATTAAATCTAATTTTTGCTGACGATTAATATAAAACTTCAACCCTTTGTGCTCCATAAAGGATGATCATAATTGTGTGCAAACAATTTCATGAAATAATTTCTGACCATTAAAAGATTTGAGTTTTTTTTTGACAATGCAGATGACTTCGATTATCATATTGTGTAAGAATAATTTAATTTCAGTCATTTATAATGAAATTTATAACGGCAATATTGTGGCAGTAATGGAAAGTAAAAAACCAAGAATGGATTAAGAATTGTGAGTTATTGAAAATGAAATTGAAGTTCAAAGAAATTACAATTCTCCTCAAAACTATATAATAAAATTTTAGATATGATCATTTACAGATTCTTTTACTTGATGTAGTAATATTTTTGAATGTTCATCAAAGTATTTTTTTTACAAAAATACTCTGGAGTTATTGATAGGTCATATAACAAAATGATTGGAATGCAAAAGATTAATTGTTATGAAAAAGAACTTACGCCATATTCGAATAAAAGAGAAGCACGAATGATGAAAGTTCTCGAACTCGAGAACTTTAGATTCGAGTTAACACAGCGTATAGAATACTGATCAAAGAAAAAAATGAAATTCAGCCGTGGAGTTGAAGAGGTATTCTAGTGTGAACTTTTGAAAAAAAAATCGATTTTTTTCTTTTTTTTTTTGCATATTCTTAAAGGACATAGTTTCAAAAATAAATCTCTGCAACCTTACATGTGAACTCCTAAAATTGACGAAGTTATGGTTGTTTGAAGGACGCGTCATTGTTACCGCAATACTAAACTTTAAGGAAATTTTTCTGGAAACTATGTTTTTCAGAACGGTGTCCATGATATCTCAAAATCTACTTGACCAATTGACTCAAAATTTTAAGTACGCATTTAGTACATGTGTGACTATAGCCCCTACCAGAATCAACCAAAAAATTTTATTTTTTATATTTTTTTAGGCTTCGGAAGTTTAACAGAAACATGCAAAAATCGATAATTGCTATAGCCAAACTCATATTAATTAAGTAACATTCACGGTCTTTTATTTCCAACAAGCAGAATGGCCGGAATTATTATGGACACTGTGAGACGACCTTTTTTAACAGCGACTATGTTTGAGAGTATGCAGTGCCACTAATTTTAACTTTTTTTGTTAAAGAAAATTTTAAATTAGTCGTTGAAATACATACAAGTAAATCTTGTCAATTTGACTGCAAAAATTGTAATAGTTTCTTTGCAAAAAATTTCCTAACAAAGTTAAAAAAACATGCACTTCACAATAGAATACCCCCTTAAGCGTTCCTTACGAGCAGCATGATGAAGAAGATGATGGACCACATTGGTGCACCAGGCAACTTCAGAACCACCTCCGGATAAGTGAGAAACACTAATCCTGGCCCACTTTTAACCACTTCCGATACTTCTGTGCCTTGCTCCAGAGCGATGTGACCCAAGATGCAGAATGTGACGCAGCCAGCCAGTAAGCAGGTTAACGTGTTCACTATGCAAGTGATTATCGTGTCTCTAAAAGAAAACCTCGTATCTTCAAACACATTCGGCGATCGAAAGGTTTTAGTTATAAAATCTTTAGAATTTTTGGAATTTCGTTCTGAAATTGAATACGTTTCGGGGTTTCGATCTTTTTTGAACTGAATTTCAAATTTTTGTTACGACGTTTCATTTCACACTGATTTTCACGAGTAATAAAAATATTATATGTATGTACAGGGTAGAATTGGACATTATTCGAATAACATTTCGAAGAAAATTTTATAAATCGTTATTCGTGAAATTTTTCCTCGAATAAAATCATTATTCATTATTTACGAATAAATTTGACAGTATTTTATTCATTATTCGTTATTCGTTCGAATAAAATATGCCCAACTCTGATAGTCTCGTAACGTGACGACATCAAATAACTCATAAAATATTTGTTGTACGAAAAAATGTTTCAGATAGAAGTTGCATGGCTTCCAGGGGGACATATAGTATTGTAATCGGTTTTATGCTATATTGCTTTTTTATCAAGGTATGAAAGTCGCCTTCAATTTTTTAAGTAAAATAGTTAATATTTCTTCTCGAATTCGGATAGAGCGTTGAATTCTACATACAAAAGTATTACACCAAATAGGGTCTAAAATACATAGTTACTGAGATTAACGGTCTCTTACAATGTAAAAAAATATTTTTGCTAATATCTCAGTAACTATATATTTTAGACCCCATCTGGTGTAACACTTTTTTATGTAGAATTCAACGCCTTATCAGAATTCGGGATGAAATATTAATTTTTATGTTATTTTGCTTTTCTATCGAGGTATGAAGGTCATCTTCAATTTTTTAAATGGAATAGTTAATATTTCTTCCCGAATTCGGATAGAGCGTCGAATTTTACATAAAATTGTATTACACCAAATAGTGTCTAAAATACATTGTTACTGAGATTAACAGTTTTTTCTAATACAATATACAATCATAATTTTGAAATTCTAAAATTAAACCTATTCGAGAGATTAGCTTAGAGATACTTTTATTGACACTGTTACTGAGATATTTTTTAAAAAGTAAAAGTATCTCAGCTATGTTTATCTCGAGTATGGTTAATTTTAGAATTTCAAAATTATGATTGTTCAAACAATTCCGTGGCATTATTATTAATTACTAAGGAGATCTGGCAGGAATCAGAGTTGGACAGCAATCAATCATTTTTATAATCGATTACTGAATGTGATCGTATGAAATTGTAATTATTACTCTATTAATCATCGTTGAAATAAATCGATTAATTTTTGTAATTTGTAATCATTAATCAGTCGTCTCGAAATCGTTGAGTATTAATTAATTTGTGTTTTTTTATTAGGATCTGTATTATGTATTTGTATATTGGAAATTGTACTATATGTCAGACATTATTTCTTCATATTGTTTTAACGCGTTCCGTGTAAACGCTGTGATCAGATTTACGGCAATCATACTGAATGTGTTAATCGCCTAAGTCTGTGCTTTTCAATAGAACTTCGTCGAAGCTAGCATATAGTCATACGTATATATGTATCATCTTGTAACAGCTGAGTTCACAACTCAGTTGTAGACGAAAGCTTAAGAGATTATCTCTGTATCTGTCCTTTCTACGAAATAGTATCGTGTTATAATATCTGTATTGTCGAGTTCCTAATTTCTTGAAGTTTATTATTCTCTAATATGTATCTTTGGTACGAAAATGAGTGAACGTCATACTGAAGAGTGTCAAAATTTTGATGATTCGACAACTATATCATTAAGTAGTCCATCTTAAAAAGGAAAATAGTGCCAATAACGATTTAATATTTATGCAAATCGATCGTTCAATTATAGAAATTTTTTGATTATTTACCAGAAGAAAGTGCAACAAATTCTCATAAAATTGTAGGATTCTGCAAACTTAATAGCGTTGCAATCATATTCTTCAAAACATAGAAACAAAAATAATGAACGCGTGTTTTCACAAAATATTTGCAATGTTCTTTTTTACAACTATGTTGTAGCTTGTAGCATAATCAAAAGTGCAATCATTTCGTGATTATGATTGCTTATTCTCAATCAGTGATTCGTTACTCAGTGATAATTTGTAACTGTTTGATAATCAGCGATCGCGATCCTTTCAATTCATCTTAATCATTAACTAGATTAACTCTGGCAGGAACGAATTCAGAATGGCACACTTACTTGTAACAATTGTGATGGAACTTGTTGTAAGATCCGAGAGCAGGGAGGGCCCCGGTGCCGATACTGTAGGCGAAGAAAATTTGCGTGGCGCCGTCGATCCACGGGCCAGGCGACAGCAGTTCGTTCCATCTTGGCGTGATGTAGTAGAGTAAACCGTCATAGCTACCGTCCAATGTAATCGCTCTTCCCAAAAGAATAAAAAGTACGACGTAGGGAAACAAGGCTGAAAACCAGATGATCTTACCACTCTGGTGCAGACCGCGTCGGATGATAAAGTAAACGAACAGCCAGCCGATGGTCAGACAACCCAACAACTCCCATTGTATGCCACCGATGCTTTCGATACCGGAAGTCATCCCAAGAACTCTCCGTCTAAAATTGTCAAACAAGCCATTATCATTCGTACATTATTATTTTAAGAATTTATTAGTCGAGCTAACTTTACATTAGCTTCGTAATAATTTCAATTTTTACTTTATATTAATTCTGCGGTTCGTTCGAATTGTTACAATTGCGATCGTCACGAACTTTTACAAAAGAGAAGGAAAATTGATTTATCGTCAGTTTGTCTGATGTGGCAATTTTTCATTTTCTAATATTAAAGACGGTTATTTGTTATTATTTTTATGGATTTATGGAAATTTTTCAGTCTGCAAAATTGTAGAGAATACTCAGCATGAGAAAGAAAGTGTATAAAATATCCAAAGGACAATGCTTCCTATAACATTGATTACGTAAAATTTATTTTCTACTTAGGTTCTATCTTTTAAATTATATTCAAATTTGCATAAAAATCCGCAATCTAATTATTATGTTATTAACAAATAGCCTACGAATCTTCATGCAATTTCATATTTTTACGATTGAAGAAGCAAGCAAAAAATTATTTCTAATGCTGATAAATATTGTAACAAATACTTCACTTTCGATATTTTATTTATTTCACGCGCTTTTTACATTCTGTTTTCATTCTTAAATCTTAAATCTAAAATCATGTAATATTGTGCAACTTATTTTTCCACGTAATGCATCATTGCAACACATTGCATTAACTTTCGTAATTCATTCACAGAAAAATCAATGTTTACTTCTGTTATTCCTCACTGCACCTAGTGATTTTCACATGAAATTAAAGGAACGCTTGAAAGGTCGATATTTCAGCTGTGTGAAGTCTGCATCGAAGAAATGATTTCGAGAAAGAGACGTTGACTTTCTTATGAATTAATTACAAAAACTATTGACTATTATATAGAAAAATACATATAGAATACGTAATAAGCATTCTTATTCTATGTTTTGTACGTTCAAAAGACATGTCTTCCCGTCCATTTCTTATTTAAGTGAAAAAGTGCAGAACTTTTCAGCCCTCGTATAAAAATCTATAGTCTAATAATTCTAAGTGCACTGTGTAACTATATTATTTACTCGAAAGTAGAGTAGTTTACTTACTCCCAGTATTCCTCCACCGGAGTGGCATGGTGAGAAATGGTATCGTTATGATTTATGTACGTCGAATTTGTGCTATTCGAATCAACAAACTCGACATCAGAATCGAGTTTCTCAACTTTTTCGAGGCCATCGTAGCAATCTTTGGTGTTCCACCAGTTGCCTGTAAAATGTCATTTAAATAGGAACGTAAGGAACATTTATGTTCATTACTATTAATTATTGAACCAACCACAATTCCTCCAAGGTATATTCGGTATGTTTAGAAAGGTGCTTATCAGATAGAAAAGCGTCCATGCTATAATAATACAGTAATACACGTCCAGGAAAAATACTATCGTCATCGTGGCGTATCCAACTCCTAGAAGAAAATATTTTTCGAATTACAAAATATTCACAGTGAGAAGCGGCGACTTTATTTTGAAATACCTTGCATCAGAGGGCATAACTGTCCGACTAAAGTCATTCCTCCCGCCCCGAGATACTGGCCAATGGCTACTTCTTGGAAAAATATCGGAATTCCACAGAACACCATGGCAATGCCATACGTGACTAGAAAAGCACCTGCCATTGAGGAAAATGTGAATTTGTGAATTTGTACTTGTATTCGGAAAATTCGAGTTTCATCTTGTACTTGTAAGCTTGTATTCAAATTAACGACAAGTTACGTATGAAAATTTGAATCCAAATCTATACTCGACGAGACCTGGACTCAGATTTGAACGTGAATTCACTTTTGGTTAATTTGAATATAGGTTTGGTTACGCAATGACAAATACACAATAATTATCGACGCGTCGTAGTAAAAGATGAATTACAAATATGTAATACTACAATATTCGTCATATTATAATATTATAATGTGACAATAGTCTGCTTATTATGGAACGCGATGCTTGCACTTTGCTTCTCTTCCATGAAAATCATAGATGTTAGATAAGTTTTGAAATTCCACGAGATTGTCAGAATAATAAATGCAAATTCAATTGTCAAACAATTTCTTTTTTAAATATTCTCAACAGAGAGAATCAAAATAACTGTTTATTTATATTTTACAAAAGTCATGGAATAAATATTAATTTTTATTTAATTCGATGTCAGTTGTCGTTTATATGTATATGTCATATTTATTTCTATACAGTTTCATTATTGTCATCAATAATGTTAAAAACAGTAACAATTCCAGTCATCAGTGTGTTCATAATCAGAAAAAATTTTTTTCATTGATATTAACTGGTCATTCATATTGATTCTAATCTATAAATTATTACTTATGATATTTGTTTATAAGAAAAATAAAATAAATTCCGGTTATTTATATTAATTACTGGTAACAAAAAAAAAAAGATATCGGATATTAATAATGGTCATTTGTAACCAAAAAACTTCTTAATGATTATTCGTAAGCAAAATTTTTCACTAGAAATATTAATTCTTACATCATAATTTTTAAAATTTGACTTGTAATAATTATGATGCTTTCTCATATTTCTACATTTACTTAACCCCTCACATTCCGAGAAACGTACACATAAATAATTAGATATCTATTGCAATTCTATTAAAAGCTTGATATTTTTGTTACGTATCGACAAACATTTCTTTGCTGTCAATTTTCTGCATTTTTAATAAATAACCAATGCTTCATAAAATTTGTATAAACCTCAATGCAGTTAGAAGCATGTATTTTAATCGTTGGAAGATTTCAATAAACAAATATATTTTTCAACCTTCAACTATTTAACACGTTCTGTGTTAATCTCTACTAGATTATCGCTAAATCACTTCCTTGTCGTTCCATTATATGTATCAATCTCTATTTCTTTTCATTTTATTCAGCATATATTACTGAAAAAATAAAAAGAAAATGTGTGAACTCCTTTATCTTGTATTTCTGTTTCTCCCACATAAGAACAACGCGGTAAATATGTTGATTATTATTCTTTTTATCAATATCTATTAATTATATGTGGTAAGATTAAATTGAAGGGATTTGAACTATATTTTATATTGCAATCATTTAAAATTGTCTAAATACTTATGCACGAGATTGTAAATAGATTGTAAATATCTGCTTGAAAAATATATGTGCACGTATCACATATGAGCCGTTTATTTTGGAAGTGGCATAAATCGCTTCACAGTAATGAGAAATGGCGATTCGTTAACATCTGTGTGAAATTATTTAATTGAGCAAAATATAAATATTCGAGATAATACAAGAAAATCTTCTCGAAAGCTATAGCATCAGTTTTTCTAGGCATGTTGAAGCGCAAAGTCTTAAATATTTAAAAACGATGTGATTTACTTTCAGAATAATCGGCTCGTATTAAGGTTAGTAACGAATGAGAGTTCAATATCAGCAATATCGTAACTAACTTTCATTAGTAAAATCAAATAACAGAAAACGCAATTTTCTATCGCATCCCGTGCATCAATATCGACTCGTTTGCAGAGCGATTACAAGTGCGACAGAACGGAAAATTTAAATACCTCAATTACACGTATTCAATGTACAAGTATGCCTTGTATATAAATTTATCGAAAGCCGCGGATAAATATACCTCTAGACGTCCCATAAATCAATCCCTTCGAATATAAATCCAGAATAATAAAAATACAATACGAGCTATATTAAATATAATGTCGAACAATTCGTCGACACGTCAAACGGTCAAATTTCAATTTGAAAAAAATTTTATCAAATTTTAACGGAAAGAAATATGATAAAGACTGACAAAAAAAAAAAAAAATATTCACGACAAATTCAACAAGCCTCTTACGTTTGCACACGCCATGTGCAATAGAACCACTGGCAACTGGTTCGCGGACCATAACGAGTGACCGAATCGTATACAATAACTCGTCGCTCTCTTTTTGAGTTCGTCAGTAATATGGCTACATCATACTATACAGTATTATACCATATTAAATGTATTACTTCACAGTATAACATTCTGTACCATAATACGGCATATTATACCACACTACTATACCATATAATATCATGTCATACTATGTGAACCGTATTGTATCGTAGCTACGCATACGTAACGTTGCGATTAAAATTTGATATTAACCCCTTGCGCTGGCAACTGGTTCGCGGACCATAACGAGTGACCGAAACCGTATACAATAACTCGTCGCTCTCTTTTTGAGTTCGTCAGTAATATGGCTACACCATACTATACAGTATTATACCATATTAAATGTATTACTTCACAGTATAACATTCTGTACCATAGTACGGCATATTATACCACACTACTATACCATATAATACCATGTCATACTATGTGAACCGTATTGTATCGTAGCTACGTAACGTTGCGATTAAAATTTGATATTAACCCCTTGCGCTGGCAACTGGTTCGCGGACCATGACGAGTGACCGAAACCGTATACAATAATTCGTTGCTTTCCTTTTCTTTTGAACTCGTCGGTACGAGTCATGTCACTGGATAGAAATTATTGAGAAGTAGGAAATTTATTATTTGTTTTACCTGAGTTATATTTAAATATATTTAAAACTGAGAAGATATTGCAATTTTGGGACGAAAAATTCTCGACGTGCGTGACCCGTCATTCCAGCGCAAGAGGTTAAAAATCATCCTCCAATCATACCGCTCACCTCCTCCGTTTTTGTAACACAAGTACGGGAATCTCCACACGTTCCCAAGTCCAACGGAGACGCTGATGCAGGAAAACAGGAAGTCCAGTTTGTTGTCCCAGCCGCCACGTTCCGCGTCTTCCTCTCGGTTGTCGGTTAGCGAGGTCGTCTTGCCCTGAGGCGCGGTGACGGCCGTCCCTAGGGCAGCGCAACCCGAATTTCTTCTGCTGCTGGAGGGACCAACCGACTTGGCCTTGAACTCCACGAACGTCTCCTCCGAATCGGCCTGGTTCCTCTCTTCCGCCCAATAGTACATCTTCTCCGTCATAATTCCTGAAATCACGCGATGCTTGTTTTACATCCTCGTGGCCTTGAACGTGAAGTTTCAAGAGACTACTAACCATCATGGAGTAATTCTGTCTAATCGGTTATAATCGGGCTGTGGTTACGTAAAATCGTCCTACACGTGCAGGGCCATCCTCGTCGGGAATGGCACGCGACAATAAGTGAACACGCAAATCATGGGACATTGTCGAGGCTGGTTTAACTCGGAGGTAATTTCGCGATCGTTCGTTGGTAATTGCCGCTACACATGATGGTTTTTCTAGTTATTGCATTGGATTTCGGGGAAATAATAGGCTGCACGTGGGTGGCATTCAGCTTTCCCACACTCTGGGATTTTTCCACTTGATTTTAAATACTTTTCGTTGCTACCAAGTTTTTGTAACGTTTCTTTTCCCTTGGTAGAATATTGTGGAATCTTTTCTGCTTCGAAACAGAATATGCTTCTCGTATTTACTTTTTCTCTTTATTATTATTTTTTTTATTTATTGTTTGTTATTTCTTTTTATTATTATTTTTATTTGTCCTTTTGTATCGTGATAAAAATTTAACGCTAGAACTGACGACCTTGATGTGTGCTTAAATGAGTTGCAAATTGTTAATTAATTAATAGTTAATTAAAAGTAAGGTGTATTAATGTCAATATCATGATATTAATACATTAATAGTAAAATATTAATATTTTTAATTTAATTCTTTATTAATTCTTAATACTGACATTTATATATTGACATTTTATTAATACTAATATATTTCTACTTATTATATTAATATTAATATAACTCTACTTTTGATTAGTTATCTACAACATATTTAAGCACACATCAAAGTTGCCAGTTCTAACGTAATAAAATATATCAACACTGAAAACCAAAATGACCAATTCGTAACTTCTCAGAGAAATTTTACAATTTGCAATCATATATTTTCAGAGATTTAAATGATTCTTTATAAAATACATAAATACATGTTCTTTATTTTATTGTAAACTTTTTTTATTCATTGCACTCTAATTTCCCTGATATATTTTTTATACGTTTTACTTTAAACGTCGATAATCAGCAATATTAATATCAATATTAATGTTATAACACTTGATTTTATTAATTGAGTACCTCGCTATATCGGACTACACGAGTGACTATCCAAATATAGGAAAAATGAGTACTAATTATACTTCTAATATATTCATCCGCATATATTTTGTTAATAAAATCTACGTTAATAAAAAGTAAGAGTCAACTATTGTACGTTGTAAGCAAATAATGGAACTTGATTATTCGTTATCTCAGCATTGGTCTGCTATTGAAAAAAATTTAATTCTTTTTTAAAGATTATGTTGTCATAATTATTCTTCCATTTTATTTATTCTATTTATTATATGAAGCTGCTTAATTAGTTAATAACATTCACTTGTCCAATTAAGGTCTCAGCTGTTAGTCCTAATGTTAATCATACAAATATAAAAATTTGACACTTATAGAGCGTCATTAAAACAGAAAACGCAATTTGTAGGGAGGGATCACCTAAATATCTACCTTATTTACCGTTATATAATGAAATAGATATGACAGATTTCTTCAATATTTTCATTGACAATCCCTAATCACTGATACTCTATTCTCACCGACGTATGCTTTCATGAACATACTTTCCTCCTCGACAAATTGTTCACGATTACGTTGTTATCATTCAGTTGAACATCTGCATTAATTTATATTGGCCTATGCCTCACTATATTATATCAAATTAAACACGATATCATCACCAACTTCTAAAAGTATTTCTACTTAAATTGTTCATCTCCACTCGGAAGAAAATTCAGATTTGTATCGATGGCTTTATATTTAATAAATCCAAAAGTTGAGGTGATCTTTTATATTATTTTTGTACATGTCAGAAAAAATGATGCGAAAAATAACTCTTCGTCAATGTAAAGATATTGCAAGTGCATTATACAAGTGTTCGCTTAAAATAAATCACCTGAACATCTTCCCTACAACCTTATGTCAATTCAAACTGTGACAAGGGACGAATCGAATGAAAGAACTATTTTTTTTTTTAAATATTGTTTATACTTTTTTTAAGTTCGTTCGTATTTTCTATATGCACATAATTTTTTCTATTGTATGTGTAGCTGATTCTATTGTATTTGTATAAAATATTGTGACTTTGAAATGATCTTAGTGTATTGACAAGTGATTTATAATAGCGTTGATGATTTGTAAAGCAAGAAAATGATTTTGTTTATGGTAAGTGATTTTTATTTATGACGAAGCTCGACAGTGTCTAAGAAATTTGAACAATTTTACCAAGAAAGATTTCCAGAATATAATTGTCCATCACGTTCTGTACATGCAAATGTCATTGAAACTTTTACGAAATTCGTAGTGTCGAAGAAACATGTGAAACGAAAAACTGTTGAAACGTTCAGAGAAGCATCATCGCCAAAGTTCATAAAAATCCGCATATTGGACACGAAACTAAGCAATTGGTGCATCAAATGGATGATCAAATTCAACATAAGTTTTAATTATTTTAAAATTAATTTAAAAATTTTAGAGTACAAGGTTATACCAAGGTTACAGTATTTTACAGCAAATAGCTTCATGTTAGCCACATGTACAACAGAAAAAAATCATGTACATGTAAAAAATATGAATAATCTTGAAAAAAACATATTTTGAAAAAAATAGTTCTTTAATCTAATTTATCTCATGAAACAGTTTAAATTACGTCAGAAACAAATCTCGTACTATCACTAATAGAGAAGACCCTGTAGAAAAATAATTAACGCATAATTCGCAATCATGATTACTCTAAATATAATTATGCACGCGAAGAAAGTTACACATTGGGGAGTTACACAAGCTTGCAGCAAAATAAAAGAATTGAACGACTGATAAAAAAAAACCTGCTCACTATCGTCAAGCTTTCCAACGTGTATTAAAACAATAAATATCAAAAGTACGAGAGAGAAATAATATTTGTAAATCGCAAAACATTGACGAGCTTAGTTTACCTGACAAGTTGACTATTATAATTTTATTATAATTTATTATAATATTATACTATTATACTAATAATTATATTATAATATTATACTAATATTATATTATAATCATAATATTATACTATTATAATATTATATTCTAATTATAATATTATACTATTATAATATTATACTAATATTATAATGAACCTGGGTTCATTTTAAAGCTTCAACACTCCACTTTCAAAATGAACAAGTCAAGATATTTTCTTCTCGAAAATGTTATAAATTCTTACAGTATGTAAAAATATTGAAAAAACTTTTTTCGTGACTAAATTTATGGTCGATTTAAAAATCGAAGCCTCCTCTTTGCAACGACCTTTAAAAATTTGATGCGATTACGATTTTTTAGAACTTTGAATGACGAAAAAAGATCGTATCATTTTCGTTATATTTCTTTTCAATTGTATCTTTAAATTCTATCAAATTTTAATAAATTGACGAAAATAAATCGTATAGCAAGTTTTGAGGCATCGTTACGAAGAAGAGGCTTTCAATCTTCAAATCCATTGTAAATTCAGCCATGAAAAGAATTTTTCAGTGTTTTTACACATTGTGAGAATTTATAGAATTTTCGAGAAGCACGTCCACTTCTATCAACTGCTACATAATATAAAAACATTTTGAAAACTAAATCATGCATTTTGAATCTTTAAACTTTGAAAACGAGCCCAGGTTTATCGTTCCATTGTTTTACAAAACTACAACAATTTCAGTATTTAACGTCTGAATATCAATGGCAGTTTTCGTATTCTAAGTTAATGTCATATTTCCTCCAAATATAGTTTCCACGTTTGATCTCGTAAGCTTCGTTTGTGCAACCTCACAAACAAATGTCGGAGTTAACCTTCCTACGTTCGCAAAGTACAAACGATGCCGAACACAGTAAGCCTATTTGCAACAATGTTTCATCAGTTTTGCTGCATAATCGGATAGCTTTTCTCGCCAACGCGCAACCGAAGTCGATTTTCAGTCAATAAAAAAGAAAGAAAAAAAAAAAAAAAAATACATGAAATCATCGGGTCGCGGCGTCGCTTCGTCGAAATTCAAAACTAATGTCTGTTCGTGTTTCCGCCGTTTAATCCGCCGAGTAGATGTTTATGAATAAATAAGGGGAAAAAAACGACCTCGCGATCGTTTATCACGCGATTTTCAAAGTATAGTGAATCACGCGTGTAAATTCACTGTTGTAAAACAACTCGGTAAATTTTCTGTGATGCGTGTTTCCCCTTCATGCGACTTTTATCTGGACCATCGATCTATCTGTGTCATTTCGCGTTTAAACAGCGACTGCGAACACGAAGTAAGAGCTTATTGCGCAATCTTGTGTACAGACCGCCGCGTGAAAATTTATAGCGTATTATAAATTGAAATTTGTATTTCAGCTTTGATTTTAGTATTTATTAAAAATGCCTGATTTTTATGAACTTTATTCAATCGTCGTACTTTTTTTTATGTGCAAAATGTACATAAGATTAAATAACTATATAAACATATCTATCTACTATTAATGAACATTTCTGTCTAAATATCCAATTTTACATACGTAATAAAGTTATATAAGTATGTATACTTATTTGGATATCAGTTAGGAATACTATAATTTATTTATTACTAATAAGAGATATGACGCAAAACGAAAGGAGATAATAAAGAAACAATAGTAAAACGTATAAAAACTATATAAAACTTGTCTACTATTATACACATATTCGTATAATTTTATTATGCACACAAGGACGTCACTTAGAAATATTATACTTTACTTATTAATAAGATATTTCATAAAATATCTTATTAATAAAAATAAAAATAAAAAAATAATAATGAAATATAAATATACTTATCTACATATCTTTATTATATTAGAATTATTAATAATTTATTTACTAATAAGAGATGTAACGCAAAACTAAAGAAGATAATAAAAAAACAATAG